TCAAAACGCTGCGTTTTCCTTGAGCAAAAACGGCGCCTCAGTGTGGACGGGAGGCCAAAACGGAGGGAAAAAGATGCGTTTTCAAACGGAAACACATTAGTGCGAACATGGCCTTTGATTCTTTACGATTCCACATTTTCAGGCTCAGAGCATCTTTCTGTCGCTATGTTTAAAAAGAGCAAACAAAGACTGATGTGCTCTGGTGAAGTGACAGTCGCGTTTGTGGCAAAGATTAACAAAAAAGGAAAAAAGAAGAAGCTGCGGGTGGGGAGCAGTGCTATGCTACAACACCACATACTGTGAATATTACAGGTGGACTGGGGGATCACTGGGGGCCACTATCAGGTTTTAAATGTGAAATGAGGAGCCTGGGACTGAACTCAGCACCGAGACCAGCAGGAAATAAACCTAAGAATAATGATGATGATGATGATGAATGTACACAGTCCAGGTTGGAAGCAGAGACGTTCTGTGGCTCACTGTGAGGAGAAGGGCTGGGATTACATCCTTCTTACTCCTTACTGACATGTAAACTCGTGTAATTTATTTAAAATGATACATCGTGGGACACATTCAATGGCAGGTGCTGCTGGCACCACTGTGGATGATGGTGCAGCTACCACTGCTGTACTTAGTTTGACTTTTTCTCTCTCGGCTCCACATCTCTCTACACTAAACTCTGCTCTGCACGGCGCACAGGGAGGAGATGTGATAGGGCAGTAATGAAAATGAACAAAGGGCTTGTTGCTCAGCGGCCCTTCGATCGACCCACTGGCCTCCCGGGCCAGTCCAGCCCTGGCTCCTCCTGTTAAGCTCCCACTGAAGCAAACCAAGCATATGCTTCTAGTCCACTATCAAAGAAGTGCCGTCTAAAGGTGTCGTACTGCTTACCTCGGCTGTGGTGCGACTGACAGCACTTAGCAGTGCTACAGACTCTCGCTCTGACTCGGTCAGTGTCCCAACCTGCAGAGACACCAACAAGGAAACACAGCAGATCCTGAATGGAAACTTTAAAGAGAATTCAGGAGAAATGTCGATCTGCACGATAACCACAAACTGCAGCAGGATGGAGGTGTGTGCACAAACCCGTGAACAATACACACAATTAATGTGATTAAATGTCATTAGGCCTGCTTTCCACACATGTTATGGATATAACTGCAGTAGCTGCACCGTGTTTGGAGGCAGCTAACTGTGATTAAACCAATGAAAAGAAAACACCACACCTAGGACACGTCAAAGCGCTCTCTGCAGTCTCTGTGTGTGTTCAACTTTGATGCTTTCTTGGGCCAAGCGCAGGTACTCTGGGACAGGAAGACCAGTTTAAACTTTGAATTAGCACTTCAAGTGCTCTCACGCCTTCCTCACTTCATCGCCAAGTTCACCACAACGTATCTTTGCACATTTTCCCTTTGATTAGATGGTTAATCAAATCTGACCTCCCACAGCAGTAGTACTTGTATCAGTGAGCTATGTTAAACAGTCATAAGGTGTCGATCTACCCACCTCCATATCAGTGGTCTGTTCAAAGTGTTGCAGCAGCTCCATGACGCCGCTGAGGTTGTTTCTGATCGAGTCTACAGACTCCTTCTGTGCACTCGTGAGCTCCTTCACCTGCGAGCACAGGGCTGAGTGTTTGGACTTTATAGACTTCAGGTTCTCCAGCACCACTGCCAGGTTGTTCTACAAGCACATGGTCAATCATCAGCCCACAGACTACATGCTCAGGTGTGTACCTGATTTTCTCTTATTGCCTTTCTGCAAACATGAAATGTTCTACCTCATGCATCACTCGTATCACTGAGTGACAAAGTGTTTTTCCCACTAGAAGCGCTGCATCCAGGTGAACTGAATGATAGCTCTGGGATTTCCGTCCCTCTTCTATGTCTTATTACATGTACTGGTTGGTACGGTTATAACTATTAGCATCTTTATGGGTATAGGCCGGTTCATCTTACTTTCACTTTAGTTGGAGTTTGTTCTTCTGTGTATCCTGATGACATCATGTTTTTTTTAACAAAAGACAAATAATACACAACTTCCAAGCACAAAGGCCGCAGTGTTAGCAGCCAGTAATTCACTAAGAGCTCTTTGATTTTCTCTAGATCTGCCTGCAGATGCTGGGAGAAATGTCATCTGTTAGTCACCTCAGCTGGACATCCATTTTCTGCACTGCTGTTGATGAAGTCCAGCTTCAACCGCTTCTCAATGTAATCCAGGTCTGCCTCTGCCTTCAGAAACTGCAAAGACAAAGTGCATCACATTGTGGCACTGAACTTCCTGCACCATGTTCAGATTCTTTGCTGTTTGACTCAACATTCCTGGTGGAATCACACTTACAGCTCATTGCTTTATGTGAACCTCATCATGTTACACTATATCAAGTGCAGCGCCCATGTTCCTGTTCCAGGACAGAGTGTGTACTAGGCAGCAGGACTTTGGCATATCCAGGTAGCTTCAGGATTAAACCGGGGTCTTCTGTACCACTGGGTGGAAATCACCAAGAAACGTTCCAGATCAGAGATCAACAGGTATGAACTCACCACCTACTGACCAATGCATTCTCAGGACAGAGACACAAGGCTGCAAAGGTCTGGACATGTGCAGAGGAGGGACAGCGGATAAAGATGGTCTATGGTCCAGCAGTCCCCAGACAACATCAGCCATCAGATCTCCTCACTGTAGGGGGCCAGTGGTTCAAGTTTCTGATTTGATGAGTGATTGAGTGGTTCAGAGAGCACCGTCACTGCTGCTACCCTGACAGCTGTACTGCAGCCACATCGGAGCGAACTTAAGAAGGAAGTCGTCTGATTCGTTGTTTAGAGAGCACAAATGTGTAGATTACTCCAGCTTGAGCAGAAGTAAGGATCGATGTGTGCGCGCACACACACATTATTATTTTAAATATTGTTCTTGTATTACAAGGTAATATTTGTATTTAGACTTATTTTCAATGGCTGTATTTACATTTGGATTACAGATAAGTAATTATCTGATATTGACTTTATTCCAGCTGTGAGGTAAATAAAGTGCATCTTTAATGCATTTATTGAAGGTGTGTAAACACAGAGGTGGTCCTTGCAGTTTTCAGATGCTTTGACAATACTATTGCACTACTAGTTGTCTGATACAGTAGTGCAATGAAGTCAGAGCATCTGCCAACAGCTCGAGGTTCACACACGGTAAACTTTGCACTAGTCCCAGGATTGCACAACCTGTACAGATGGTCAGCAGCACAGACAGACAGAGCTCAGCTACAGGCTGCACATCCTCCCATTTCCCTTCTGCAATAAGAGTTACGGGGAAGTAAGCACGCTTGTCTTTGGCACCGTGAGACTTGATGCACTGAGCCATGTGCAGGAGACAGCTGGTGTTTGAGACGGTCTCGAAAAACAAACAATCTGTGAATAAAAGTCCTAAAACAACAGAGCGATGCTACACTTGGTCCCGCTGCGGACTGCTTGCTCCGAGTTGCTCTGTGACGTTCGAGTGGCGGCGATGTTGAAACTAGCCGAGCTCCTTCGCGGTCCTGCGGTATTTGATGGGCCTGACTTTGGATTATTTCTTAGCAGAGAACCGTGAGTCGCCTGCTGTGAGCGGCACACCGTGTGCAAAGCTACGATCAATAGCGGTTCAACAGCCAAAAGATACAGTCGGGAAAAGGAGTTTGACGCTGTGCTTACCATCGCCTCAAGCTTTTCAACTGTTGTCTCCATGTTGAACAGTTTTCACCCTGAACGTGGGCGCTGTGATTGGCCAGCTGTCAGGAAGGAAGAAAGCTGATTGGACGTGTGTCAGAGCCGAGAGCTGTGCGCCATATTACTCCCAGTCTGTTTCTGTGTTTGGCGCCCCCCTCTGGCTTGGAGTGAGATGAGTCCTGCTGAAACATTTTAGGATCTTCCTGATAGTGATGGGATTCCGGATCTTTTTAGAGAACCGGCTCTTTTTAGAGAACCGGCTCTTTCAGCTCGACTCAATAAAAGGACCCGATACTTTCGGCACCTAACCGACTCTTTAGGTTGTTTTGTTTCTTTAGTTAATTTATTATTAACAACAATATAAAATTATGCACAAAAGGAATTACTAATGTAAAAAAAAGTGGCTTTATTTATATATGTTTATATATAAATATATACGGTGGCCCCTAGAGACAAAGCATGTACCAACTCCAAAACACATTTCTAGCGTTAACTGAACTTCCAAAACAGAGCTACCTAGATCACTTAAATTACACATTGAAAGCATATGTGTATTGTTTGTATATTTATACACCAGCACTCATATATATTCAAACAATTAAAAAAAAAAAAAGTTCATTTACCTGTTACTACCACACACCAAATCCGGTCGTTGGTACTTGCTGGCTTGTGTAGCCACTAGGTAGCAAAAGCTCAACACTGCGCCCTAGCATCCTGGAGAACTTCTGTTGTCTTTTGTACGTGTTTTGGAGTTTTTACGTGTTTTGGAGTTTGCACGTGCTTCGGGGTTTGTACATGTTTTGGAGTTTTCACGTGCTTCAGGGTTTGTACGTGCTTCAGGGTTTGTACGTGCTTCAGAGTTCGGACATGTTTTGGAGTTTGTATGTGCTTTGTTAGTGGCCACCGTAAATATACTTTTATTTATTCACTCCACATAAAATGTAATAAATAAATCATATAATACAAAAACCAACTATTCACATTTCAGCTTTTATCTATTTAAATTTTCCTTTTAAACAAATTTAAAATGAAACAACACAAAACACTGCAAACCACAACACAATTAAATATAAATTAAAATATGAAAACAAAAAGAACATGCATATTCTCTGTCATATGGGCCTGCATGAATAAACTTTCTGTATCCGTTATCATCCGCAACTGAAAATAGTTGTGGATGATTACTATACCTTTCTAATGTGACGCAGGGCTCTAGACTAACTTTTTGCCATGGTTGCACTGGTGCGCCTAAAAATAAAATTTAGGCGCACCAGCACAAAATTTAGTCGTACAAGCACAAAAGTTAGGCGTACCCAAATTTTTTAACTGCATTACTTAACACCGCAGTTTTACATGTTCACGTTTTTTTTGATTTGTAAATGATTAACTAACAACCTTTCAAAATGATTAACTTGACACCCCCTTTGCTGCCCAAATTAACAGCAGCTCCATCAGCCCCCATAGCAATGATTTTATCCAACCAGTTACTGCACTGGTCCCCAAGAGCAGCAAATGCTTTCTTTGAGGCAGCATAAATTCCTAAACAAATAAAAAAAAAAAACATTTACTTATCAGATCAAGAGTTTACAATGCAGTCTTTTTCAGTTTGAGTTTCTATATTCATGTATTATTGCTATGTTTAATTTTCAATGATGCTAGATATGGTTAATTCAGTAACACGATGTAATATTATTAATCATATACATAGGCTACGTGACATGACATGGCTTACCTTGGGCATGGGCATGCTGGACCTCAATGTGTCCAATCAGTATATTCGCTGGTCTTCCTTTTTGCAAGATACGAGCGTACACAATGACACATTCTTTTGTGGCGATGTCTGTGTCTCCATCGATCAGGAAGGCCATGTATGTACTGTTCGCAATTTCCACTGACGTCTTTTTTTTCAGTGTGTCAGCGATTACGCCTATAAACTGGGCGCACGCAACATCATTGCTGTATGTGGGGTTTATGTCCAAGCCATTTTTCCTGTGAAGAGTTATTTCTGACTTGAACTTAGTAAACGGAACTTCTTCTTTTGCAATATTGTAGGCGATGTTAAACTTAATGATCATCTCGACCTCCTCCGATGACCTGTTTACTCCTGCCTGCCGCTGAAAGGCAGTGGGGAGCGGGGACATTTTGGCAGAGCATTTATCGCGGCATATAATGTGTCTTCTCAATGCTGTATGCTTTTTCAGCGTTTCAATTCGAAACGTATTAGCACCAGTGACAAATGCTGTGTTGCCGGCCATGGTCTTTCCACACTCGCGACAATAAATGCAGTGCATCATATTGTCAGCTTGGCTGTATCTTAGCCAGGGAAACTGGTCAAGCCACTCGATTCGAAATCTATACATTTTCTCACTTTTACTTTCAGTGGACTCCGGCTGGGAGTCGATCGTATGTGGCTCATTTTCTGATGCCGTCTCCGGACCAGTGTTTGACAAAAACGGAGAGGTTGATGGCTCCGTGTCAGAGCGCTGGCTCAGAATTTTGGACTGATCAGGCCTTAACTTAACGAAAAAGTTATCAATTGTTCTTTTCATATTTTCTCAATACCAACTTCATACACTTCTGACCTGGGCTACTCACCCATCTCTATCTGCCCGCACTTTCAAACGTAAACACAAGTAGGTCTGCAGGAATATCTGGACCACGGCCAATCACAGAGGTCCCCGCCTCTGAGTATCTCTGATTGGTTTAGAACACGACATGGGCATAATGTGTGTCTGTTGTTGAACACACAGAGACTTTCAGGGTTGCTGAAACTTTTTTTTTCCGAGAAAATACTTGGTTGCACCGGTGCGACCAAGTATTTTTTTTACTTGGTCGCACCGGTGCGACCAAGTATTTTTTTTACTTGGTCGCACCGGTGCAACCAAGTATTTTTTATTAGTCGCACCATGGAGAAATTTGGTCGCATTTGCGACCAAATTGGTCGCACTCTAGAGCCCTGTGACGTTGTTGTCCCTGGCTCTCTTTCTCTGTCTCTCCCTCCCGCTCTGTTCCTGTGCTACTGAGAGTGTAACTACTGCCCCTCCCACCTCTTCCCAGCGCAAGCACAAGGCTCGAGTGCGGAGTGAAGCGGGAAAAAAGTGCGAGAGAGAGAGAGTGAGAGAAAGAAAAAAGAAAACCCACGGCTCGCGATAAGGAGCCGGCTCGCATCGTTCACGTCAAAGAACAGTAAATTTACGCTACGGTAGGATGTTTTGACAAGGTAGGACGTTTTGTCAGAACACCGGCTCTAAGAGCCATTTCGTTCGCGACCGACACATCACTACTTCCTGAGAGTTACAGACACATCGAACCGACCTCCTCTCTCATTTCTCTTTCTCGCATTATATTAAATAAATAACCTGGTGCGTTATGTTCTTCTTTCCATAATCTTCACATTTTCAGGTATTATGCCTTCCAGTCACGTAGATAGCAAACATTTTGAATTTACACCTTTTCTCACCGCTTTGTTTGGCCAGTGAGAGGAAGCCAAAGCACCCAGAGAGAACAAACAGACACAGGAGAACACAGCCGGGTCAGATGGAGGATTCAAATTCAGGGCGCTCCTCCCGCCAGGCAACGGAGCAAACCACTGTTCCGCTGTACTGCACAGGGTGTGTTATATTATGTGGATTGAAAATGTGACGTCATTCAGGGGTAAAACCGCAAAGAATTCTGGGAACTCGTGGCAAGAGGTACTAGCGCACGCAGGCTTTCAGTAGAGATTGAAAATGTGACGTCATTCAGGGGTAAAACCGCAAAGGATTATGGGAACTCGTGGCAAGAGGTACTAGCTAGTACCTCTTGCCACACAGGCTTTCAATTGAAATTACATTACACAGCGATAAAAAGAAACACAAAAAATGGCAAGAAGCTGTTGTATTATTAACTGCGATAGCCGGTCGCATGACAGCCACGGGAAGCCGACGGGTAAAGAGATCGGTTGTTATCGGATTACGTCGTTGAAGAGAAATTGTTCGAGCCATGTTTCCGAAGTAACAAAGAGGTGATGGATGGCCTGGATTGCAGCCATTCAAAGACCAAATATAACGTCCCAGAACACTCCAGCTCACATGTTAGTCTGCTCCAAGCATTCCCACAAAGGTCAGTCTTCTGTTGTAGTTAATACGTCATTTTTCATAACATAATTGGTAATATAGGTTACAAGCAAGTCTGGCGCTGAACAGAAATTGTCGCGCTATGCTCCTTTGTTTATTGTGCATAAATAGTGAATTGTCCTGACACGATATTGCGTTTCGCTTCTGTTATTACCATGGTACATTGACAAAAACATATACTTTTATTCACAGGATAAAACAGTTTTTTTGTATCACTAATTGCCCAGTACGATTACAGCATACAATATTATTGTCACTGCTACATTTCTGTAATGCGAACCAGAAATTATTTCCACTACTAATTAACGGTTAACGAATGTGTATTTATGAAGACGATTTGTGAGACTGGTAAACTTATGATACGTACAATGGTCTTTCGTTCTACACGGTGCATTTCAAGGTCCTGTACTCATCCGTCGGTAAACTGTACCTGGGCTTGTTGCAGTGACCTGAAGTTACTAAAAACTTCATGAGTGTATGCACTCACTCCAAGAACTGTATAATTATAAATATGAGCGTGGTGAAAGTTGGGCAGCACGCTGACGTATTTTGTCCACTCTGTGTGCTCGTAAGGGTCTAACCCTTTCACTCCTTTGATTTTTTTTCCTTGTATCTTTTCTTTGACATTTCATCAAGTCTGTCTTTGTACGGACCGGCATTGTTCTCCTTCGTTTTGTACATTCCCTTTTTGGGGGGCAAAGAAAAAAGAATTTATTGGAACCGGAGAATGAACGTTTTGCGGTGCTGCAAATGCTTGCATTTGATGCGGTACTTGGATTGTTTTGCCACGAGTTCCCGGCATGCAATGCGCGAAAGTCACGTGGTATTTCAATCTCTATACTGTTGTTCAGTGATGACGCAACGAATCCTACTTCCGGGTCTAAAGTAGTCTGCGTTTAATATGGCTTTTGTGTTGTTAACATGTTTAATGTTATGTATTTTCTTCTATTTGATCTCAAAAAGCTCCTAAAACAGTCAGTGATCACTGTTGACCTCCCTCGGCTTTTATTACCACTAATCATTTATTTAAGCTCAGTTTTTAAAACCTTAGGATGTAACTACAGCCCAGCCCATGCAGCAGTATATGAATGACTAACCTCGTATTGTGGATGGATTATCTCAGTTGTTCTCCTGGCTGAAATTTGGTCCTTTTACAGCATCCTGCCACGCGATTACATTTGTTCCTGACCACCGAGAACACTCGCGTTAACTTTTATGGAGTGGAAAAAAAGTTAGCTTGTTTATATTATGCTAACATAGCTGTGTCGCTAGCGGTCACGTAGCACATCATTATATACCAGCTAGCCCAACTTCAGTAACCCTACAAACGTCACTGCTGTTTAGTTTCTGTCTTCATTTATGTTGGAAGTGATAACAGAGCTGTACTTTGAATTTGTTTCCAAAACCCCGCAGTCAGGACATGCTATATTGTATTTAGATAGAAGCTAGCGAGCTAACTCCCTGCTAACTTCTAACTCCGTTAAATGTCAAAAATTCCGTTTTCATGGATGCCTGGATGTTAAACTCAATTGTTACACCTGGTAGAGCAGAACTGATCATTTTATTAAAGATGAAAGACTTTAGACAGTTTTTCAACTCTCAGTAATGCCACAGTGATCGTTTGATATATGGACCTGCAGCAGAGTTTAGACCCAGACACGGCTAGTGACGTCAGACTGAACAATCGGATAGAAAAACGGTTCATTACTCGAAGCTTTTCAACACAGTCCACTCTGGTGACATCTGGTGGCCAAATATATGAAGAGCAGCTTGAATCCACAAAATAAAACCAACTGCCTCATTATGATTGCCCACTCGATAGAGTGGAGTTCTGCCTGATATTGGGCCACCGTTGTGTTGCTTTAAACGTGTATTTATGGGGGTGAAAAAAATGTTGTTTATTTCTTTAATAAATAATTTTGACCAGTAAACTTTCCTTGTTTAAACATGCACCATGGTTTGGTCTTTGCTTGTGACTTCTCGATGTTGGTAAATACAATAATTGAAAAAATACCACGCTACATATAATATACATATAATAATGTACAACACATTTTGGAGTATATTTCTGCTGTGAGGTCCCGCCTCCTTGTACTTATGCAATTAACCGGGTTCCAACCCGGACAAACGGATCAGATTTTCACCCAGGTGTCATCCACATATCTGAACCAATGGCTTGGTGGTGTTCCAGGGTAGGATAGCAAAGCCCTCTTTTCCACTTCTTCCATGTACAAATTGGCCACAATGGATGAAACTGGGGAGCCCATGGCACACCCATGTTTCTGCCTGTGGAACTGACCCTTGTATGTGAAGTAGGTGGAATGAAGACACAGTTCAAACACACTTGGTCGGTGCTGAGAGCGGTCCTGTTGCTGAGGTTGGGGTCATCTTACGGACCACCTTCAGTGAAGACAGATGTGAAGCCTGATCTTGAAAGTTGAGCAGATGTCTGTCTCCTGAGTCTGATCTGGGAGCTGCTTCCACAGGAGGTGGGTACTGTAACAGGCCTTTTAGAAAACGCCAGCTACCACCAATCCTGTGGCAGAGGTTTACTGGAACAACATGCTCTTAAAAATATGATGCACTCACATCATCACACACGACTCTGTATATTCTGCCAGTGCAAGAGTGGAGCTCCCAACTCTCTTTCATGGTTGTTATACACACTCAGGGAATTCTTTCTGGATAATGACGATTATGTCTGTTATAAATTACATTATTTAATGTAATAACAATTCATATTTTAAACATTTTTGTGCAACATTATTACTGCCATTATGCTGTTATTACAAAACACTATCATCACATGTTCTCATTGTTCACCTGGTGAGGCTCAAAGCGCTCCCAGCTGGAGTCCAACCGGAACGCTGTCTGATAGAGGGAATGATTTAAAAATGTTGATACTGTTTTGTCAGGAAAGAACTATCGACCACACACAAAGCAACGTAGTTACTACACAAACAAAATTTATGTGGCCATATGGGAGACATTTGAATCTGAAGGTGCTTCCGACACAAAGGAAAAATACACTTCTTCACCTTCAGCAGGGATATTTACACAAACTGTTGATTTTGAATTTGGAAAATACAGGATTTGTTTGTTTTGTTCCGATGAACTAATATTAGAAACAGTTATTCTACAATGCTTTATGTTACAAAGCAAGTCTCATAATAAGAAATGTCAAATATGAACAAAACAGGAAGCAGATTCTAGTTTTAAGGGCAAACTATATGAAAAAAGTTGTTCCTGTACAGATAATTGTAAGAGCAGTCGTGGCTTTGTGTTGGTGTGAGATAAAGGAACAGTTTAAGACTAATATTTCTGTTTGTCACTATGCAGAACAGTTAGCGCGGATCTTTCACTATACTGTCACTCAATGACTTTATTATCAGCTGTGTGAGTCTGCAGCACAGGAAGTTCCAGCTTCTCACACTCGGTCATCTTCAGGGTTAAGTACTGGGCCACCTCGTTGGGATCGGTGAACAGTGGAGCCGGAACATTCTGAAGAGGAGGACACAACGAATCAAACTGAAGAACTAATCTGGAGTCAAAATAAAAACCACATATTAAAGTAAAAATTGATCTGAATATTCATATTTATATAAAAAACAACAAATAATAATGTACTTCAGAATCACCCATGAAAAACAAAAATCCTAAATGCTGTATAAACAGCATCATGAACGTGTGATGGTGCAGCACAGTCAGCATGTCAGTGTGAGCAGTCCTGGTGCTGCTTCAGACAACACGAGTACACTGAGCTCACCACAGCTCCCAGCTTCCTCTGCAAACACACTGCTAACATGCTGGGGTTCTTCTGCACACTGACATCTCGTCCCAGGACGGGCACAGGCAGCTGTCTGACGCTGGTTTCATTATTATTGTTGTTGTGATACAGTTTTAGTACATTTCCATCGTCACCCTTAGCCCTCTACAACATGAATTTAACTGTTTTGTTCTGATTTCTTTTTTTTTAGAATTAAATATTTCATCCTACATTTTGATAGCTTGGAGCGTCCTCTACTGATACATCAGCCAACAAGTATCCACAGGTAAGCCAGCGGTCTGAGAGCGACGTGCTGTCAGGATAATAACTGTGAGGTGTTGAGGATGTGGCTGAACAGACTTTGAACATGAGAAGGATTTTAAATTCAAGTCTGAATTTATCAGGGAGCCACTGAAGAGAAGCTAATAATCTCTTTGCAGTGCCAGTGGGCGGAGCTTTGAGTCAACTGAAGGCTTTTCAGGTCATGTTTTGGACATCCTGAGAATAATGAACCCGTTTTTTAGCAGCACTCTGACTCAGGATGTTTCTAACTTTAATGACATTGCACAAATGAATCAGGCGAGCTCTACGTATTTGTTGAAAGTACACCTGAGGCCATCTGAGCAAAGTATCAGGTTGGACATCAACTTTTAACATTTTTAGGACCAAGTATAATATTCCTCTTTTGGAGATGATGAGTTAACTCTTTGATTACTTCTCTTTCAAAACGTCTATAATGAAGATAAGATATCAGTCTATAATTAGCCAAGGCAGCTGGATCAAGTAAGGGTTGGAAGTCCGTGGTATGTAACCTGTTAATAAAGACAGATTCATCCTGTTAAAACCCGAAGCATTAATTCATAGGGAAACAGATGGACACCATCTGTCCAGGTTTTCCCACAAAGTTTGCCAATAAAACCCACGTTGTTTTTCTGGACACTGCTCAGACAGGAGAACGCTACTAGTCCAGGTGGAGAGGGGACCACAGAAAGCTTCAGAGTCTGACATCTTTTTAGCAAAACTACCATCGACACAGTATTGGTAAATGGACTGATTCTTATATAGCACTTTTCTTCTCTCCCACAGCACTCAAGGTGATCTATACAACATGCTTTATTCACCCATTCATATTGTTCTATCCTGTTTCCATCTAAGCAGCAGAACAGACTTCACCAACTTCACGAGGACATGACGTACTCTAGGGGGCGCTGTGTTTGCTGCCCAGGACCGAGGAGCCTGATTGGCAAGTTTACCCTGAAGGACATCCATGGAGGACATCGTTTAGCATGTCCGGTTTGGCGGTGGGTCAGTGATGGTCTACGGAGGCATGTCCATGGATACCCACCCTCACCTGACCCCAATCCAACTGAACACCTCAGGGACATCATAGTTCGGTTGCACCTCGGACTGTCCAGGAGCTCGGTCCAGATCTGTGAGAAGAGCTGCTAGTGCACCGGAGGAGCATGGTCCCATGTTGTCAGGCATGCATGTGGCGGCATAAACACTACTGAGGCCCATTCTGGCAACAAGCACTAGCCTGGTGCACATTTTTGTTCACTTTGATTTACAGCTTGTCTTTGAATTCAGCCTGTGATTATTTTCATTTCATTTCATGTTGTGGTATCCTTCCTTTTCTAACACATTAACCAGTCCAGTCAGTAGATTATATTTTTTAAAGCTCAATGAGGATAAAACTGAAATCCACCTTACAGGCATCAAATCCAACCTTTTGAAGGCGAACCATTTCTCTCTCACCATCGATAACTCCAGTTTTCCCCTCTCCTCAGGTTAAGAGCCTTGGTGTCATCCTAGACAGTTCACTGTCCTATAAATCTCACATCAATAATCTCACCTGCCCATTTCCATCTATGCAGCATTAACAGATTACATCCTGCACCCAGTCTACATCCACAGTCTCGTTACCTCCCACCTTGACTATTGTAATTCTCTCTTACATGGTCTCCCCCCAAAATCCCTCCATCAGCTTCAACTGGTTCAAAACTCCGCTGCCTGCATTATTACCAGACAGATTATTACCAGATTATTACCAGAACCCCTCCTACCAGCACATCACCCCTGTTCTTCAGGAATTTCACTGGGAGCCTGTGAAATTCCGAATAATATACAAACTTCTTCTGCTCACCTTCAAGGCCCTTCATGACCTTGCTCCTTTTTACCTTTCTGACCTGTTAAGCACCACCTGTTCTGCCGTTCACTTCGATCCTCTTCTTCTGTCCAGCTTGTTGTGCCTTCCTTCCGCCTCACCACCATGGGAAGCAGAGCCGTCAGCTGCTCCGCTCCCAGGCTGAGGAACTCTCTCCCCCAGATGTAAGAAACACTTTCTCTCCCCCAATTTAAATTTCAACTCAAAACCCATCTGTTCAAATCTGCATATTCACTGTGAACCTAATGTTTGTTCATTTTATCTTGTGCTTTTTTGTTTTTATTGTTCATCTTGTTATTGATCTATTATGTGTTTTACTCTTTGTTAAGTGTCCTTGGTTGTCTTGAAAGGTGCTTTTAAAATGTACTATTATTATCAGGCCTCGCAAAATTTCAAACTCCCTGGTAGCCCTTCGGGCAGGGACTCTTCAGTTTTAGCCCAAAATAAATTTAAGTAGCCCGAATAAAAAAGAGCAATGTTTTGATTGATGTTTTGTTTCTCGTTTTGTTTCCGTTACAATATTATACATTAAAGTATAATATTGTAACGGAAACAAAACATTAATCAAAAAATTGTTGAAAAACAAATTACAACATTGTATAAAAATGACAATCATCAACTCAAATACTTGGTTCTAATTGAACAGAAATTTCTATGAACTTGTAAGAACTGTGTAGGACACGAATCAGTCTGTGTCAGATCCTGAATTTGAAATTTCCACTGAAGTCACGGGTAAGAGGCAAGTGGAACCAAGATCGAGGCCGTTTGCTTTTTGAAGTTTGCAAAGACTGCTAAATTTTGCCAGTGGTAGTTCACTCTTTGCAACATAGTAGCTGTTCTAAACAGATTTTTCAGGTTTATTTTTAGTATGTTATTTGCAATTGGTGTTTGTTCTGGGAAAGATATTGCAGACTGAGCAATAATGCATTTCTTGCATTTCTCATGGGTTCTAATGGGGTCTTTCTTAAAATGACTGGTTCCAGTAACAAAGGCGCTTGTCGACTCAGAAATCGAGGGAAAACCAACAACACACCCGGCAGAACATTATGTTATTTACACGGGTGCACATAAGTGGTCTGCATGTGCGCATTCGCTGTCAAAATAAAAGACACGCACCAGATAAGAAGTTGCAGCGCGCGTTTGCGTCCATATAAAAGGCTGTTTTTGTCCTAGAGTGGGATTTTCACGGCACATTCTGCACCACATCTCTGTGCGTTCATCATTTGTTTGAAGCCAGCTCACCTCCTGCAACCACTTTTCCGAGAATACGCGCTTCTTTTGTGGTTCGGACTCCTGACGTTTCTTTGGAGGTGGAGGAACATCACAGTAATTGCTTAAAGGAGCTTCTTCGACATCTTTAAGAGTTTTAAACAAATGTCTGTCCTCCTCCTGAAAATCTTATGTACGCAAACATGCGTTGCAACTTCTTATCTTGTGCGTGTTTTTTATTTTGACAGCGAATGCGCACCTGCGGACCACTTATGTGCAGCCCTGGTTATTTAGCTCGTCATGTTGCAGCCACAGAAATTCTTTTGTCCATGAAACCATAAAGCTGCACTTTCTTTTTGCCTTATAGTCTGATTTGTCATAACTTCTCCGTTTTGTGGTAAGCTTTTCTTTGGCTGTCACTTCTTCACCCTGACCTGTCTTATTTGGCTCAGCAGAACTAAAATATATATCCTGCTGCTTTTACACACACACTCACATAAGCTCAGCGATTCTCTGCGCGATCAACCTCTCACATGTTTAAGCTGCGGGAGATTTCACTTGTCATGTTTGCATAGTAAGCTAACGATTAATAAGACGATGTCAGAGGAATTGGTGCACAAATTATCATCACTCACAGATCAGTGCTGTCGCTCTCTATACACAGTTCGCACGATTGCAAAGTGAAAGCAAAAAAACAAGCGCAAATTCAAACGCGACTTCAATATGTCACATATTGACAGTGGCTCACCGATGCCAATGACATAATTACCCAGCTACATTTCCGAAAGAATGCAAAAGCATAGACATATATTTTTCCTTCCTACGATAGTTATTAACAAATCCAAAAGGAGTCAGTGCTAGAATAAAGTGCCAGACGACGTTCAAACTCACACAAAGCCTTTCGTGAACATGAAAATATTCGGGCTCTGCTTTGGATCGAAGAAGCCAGTAAGTGGAAACAAATAACAGAATCACAGCTCTGTGTCACTGCTCACCTTCAGCTCTGAGATTTTGCTTTCCCTCGTAGTGAACTCTCGCAGCATGTAATCCTTCCCAGCCTGAAACCAAACATTACATCACGTGAGTCACTTTGAAGTCTGTCACCTGCCCGTGATGAAGTCTGGCAGCACACTCTCAGGTGATGAAACAACTTACCTCGTGATATAGTCGAGTATCGTTTATTCTAATCAGCACTCCGTCCACTCGCAGGAAGAAACGCATCAACAGGAAGAAGCTGGTCGGCATCACTCGCTGCATCAACAAGAAACATCATCGTCATCATCAGTGTTAAATCGGCTGCTCATTTGGATTTGGCAGTCCCACGGGACAGGAAGACGGCACTCACAATTTTGACGCTAAGCATAGAGACTCCATGGTCGTGCAGCTCATCTTCAAACAGCAGCACCTCATCAAAGAACATGATGTGTTCCCGAGCCTTAAGCTTCTCCATGTCAATACGCTCGGCAGTCTCAGACACCTTCACACGAAAACCTCACATCACTTTCTTACAAACCTGTGACTGTGAAGAGTGAACAGTGTCAAACCTGCCTACCTTTATCTGCATGCTTTCTCCTGTCAGAGTGCCTCTGTAGTCTGTGGTGTACGTCCAGTCATAAGGTCGGATCACATCTTTAGAGTGTTCAGAATCAGCTCTGGAAGGGATATCATCCAAGATGTTTAGCTCAGTAAGCCAGTGTGACCCTGAGCCTATACTACACCTTTAGCTGACAGAATGAACGCACCACACTTTGTTCTCTAGGGTATGACTGAAACACCAAGACCTGTCAAATACATTGGACAGTAGCTGACAGTCAGAAAATTGGTGCAACGCAGCGGCGTCGCAGAAAATCTGCCGCAGAACGCCGTAGACAGACACAGCAGCACGCCGAGTCCCAAGTACTGGTCTAAAAGTGGGTTTTTATCCAAGCAGAGAAGATTATCTGACAGAAGCTAACAGTGAGCGTCTTACCTGCTCTCCTGCCATTCCTGAGCACACGCCACCTTGACGCTATCCTCCATGTTGCTGACTCTCTTCAGGGAATCAACAGCATTGAATTCAATCCCGTAACCGTCCGTGTGCTGGATGCGCAGTATGTTGTCTCCAAACAACATCTCTGGAAGAGAAGGCATGTTCATGTCTTCTGCTAGCCTGGAAAGTCAAACAGTGAAGACTGATATCAATCAGGTTTTCTCATCTATTCTAGTCGTTTTGGGAGGATTCAAAACATCAGAAACAAATCGAGCAGCGCCTGCAACAATATTAGTTTGTTTTCTTTAACGTGTCGCGGCTGCTTCTTTCAGTGTCTACATTATTCATTTATGGTTATTTCTATTTTTCCACCATGTGATCACATCACAGCGAGAAGATGTGATGATGCTCGGTGCGTTGCTGTCTGATGAAGAGGACGTGTTACAGCTTTTGTGATGCAATAAACAGGCAAAAACAGCTGATCATGTAAACACGACTCATGTGGACACACACAGACTCTACTGTTTGGTTCTCTGACAGTCCGCCTGGTTACACAGGCTGGACCCAACACAGCTTAGATGATATTAAAATGTGACAAATATCTCACCGTTCAATGTCCTTGGACTTCATGATGTGGTTTTTGGAAGCAGTCACTTTCCATGGTCCAAAGTTGAAGTCCTGCTTACTGCTCTTGAAACCATGTGACATCATCATGGACAGAGAGGCCAGCATCAACTGCAAGACAAACATCAGCAGGTTTGTCCAAACAGAACAGGTGGACAGTATCTGCTGTTCAGAGCTTATGGTGTGTTTGTCTGTTTAAATGCGATGACTTTGTAGTTCTCATGTGTTGTCTTTGTTAGAAACCAAATCTGGCAAGGACACAGTGAGCTCCTTCCACCGATGCAAAATCCCTTTCCAGACATTTTCACTAAAAGGGCGATTTACTGGCTGTAGCTGGTCCCAAAGTTGAAACCACTCACAGGAGTAGTTGTGGAAATTTCGACTGTGGGAAACCCGCTGATGATTTGCAGAAGTGGCCCACAGATGCTGACCATCCAAATGATCCCTGGTCAGGGTTTTCAAAGCTGCTCAAACGTGGGCACCGAGACAGAAGAGCAGCACTGTGCCAGTGAAGAGCTGTGACTACAGTCAGGGTCAGCTCCGTGCCCGCCAGCTGCTGCACAACAATCCGAGAAAATCACTGCGCAGCGCATTTTGCTAAAGAGGATAAAAATCCCAAATAACAGAGACATCCGAGGTTTAAAAAAAGGAAATTCTTGTCAGCCGTGCAACATTTAGTTATTCCTACAAGCTGGTCGGTTTGTAGCAATAACTAAATGTTGGTCAGGCCGTCAGCAGCTTTATTATGAGTGAACATACCGAATCTGTGACTCGTATTATTATAAACTTGCACGATCTGCACACTTAAAGTAGCTGAGGCTCGGTTCACGCACAGCGTGTTTGCCGTGTTACAGAAACAAATATTAGCACAAAGGCTCGCCGGACGTTTGTTTCCCTGCGCTGACTCGATGTTCGCTCAGGCAGCTCCAAATGCTTCGTCCCAGTTTAGGCTGTGAACGTAAAGCTCTGCGGTCAAACACACAGGCTGTACACAAACACACAAACACATTCATTTACCTTGATGTTGTTGTCGAGCGTTACCTGTCATTGGAGGCTCCCGGGTACGCCGGTGAAATCTGCCCGGTGATGTTTGTGACGCTCGCACTTTGGTTCCACTTTCAAACCTTTCTTTAAAAAAAAAAAGATAATCATTTTTCGGTGTTTGTGGGTGAACACGAATTCAGTGGTGATCTCACAGTGTTTCATTAACATAAAACATTTTGAAATAAATTCGGAGAGTTAATCGTCTGTTTTTAGAACTGCGGCTGTCGGTCTTACTGTTGGCCGGTTTCAGCCCATCCCTCCTTCCTCTGGTCTCCTGGCCCCAGCCTCCTCCTTTGTCCTCGGTCAAAAGCAGCCATGCCTTATTCAGCACTGAAATCTTAACGATGATATGCATGCTCGATTTGGAAAACATTTGATCCTGATGCAGTCCTCTGCATTTATGCCTGTGACATGCTCCAAGTCAAACAGTTGTGAGCCCTACTGCTGTGTCTCAAGTCGCCTCCTCCTTTCATGTGCTGCAGATTCAGCAGTCCTATTCAATCCCTCTGTAACCAGCAGGTCACAGGTGCTGCAGTACAGGTCTAGCAGCATCTCAAGGAAGGACATGGCATTTGCCCAATTACATTTGAGCCTCTGAAAATGGAGAGCTGTAAAGAGATGGCAGTGGAAATGGTAATTAAATAGTTACTTAATACTTGTGAAACCAAGCTGAAAATCTGCTCTTAAATCACATCTTCATTGAAAAACCACTATTGTGATGTTCAGAGGTGAAATCCTAAAAATGTTATGAACCTGTCTGTGAAGATTGGCCTCGGTCTCTGGTATCAGTGTTTCCATGAACTGGCCAACATCTACATTCATCATGACTGTAGCATCTCGTCTTGTACGGTTGCACCATTCTTAATGAAGCTTTGCATAAACAGCTTATAATATTTTATACAAATGACACAATCATGCATATATGTCACATTAGATCATGATGATGGCGACCGCTCCGTGTGGGCCGCCTCCCTGTCTCCTGCTTGGGGTCAGGTCTCCTGACTGTGATGGCGGATTGTGTTTGTGCATCGATTAGGCGCTGTTTGTTTTTGTATGCACGTCGTCGCAGGAATGACCCGTTGTGTTTTCCTGGCACTGCTGTATTACTGACACACTCAAACTAATAACAGAAACCAATAATTACATTAAAAACAAACTAGATGAGCCCGTCGATTTTACAAGTCTAGTCTATGGTTACAGCAGTGAGAGGCTACAACACAGCAGCTATTACTACTGTTACTGCACAGGCACACAGAGCCATGCAGGTTTTCCCAGTGACGTTCCTGTTAATCCTCATTATACAAGAAGACATTTGAACTCAAGCAGTAACTGTCAAAACTTTGTAAAGGTCAATCTTTAAATACCAGCTTTATTCAGGAAAAGAGGTCAAAGACAAATACGACGTTTTGATAACAATCAGGTGTACATCAGTAGCTGACTGCAGGTGAACTACAGGACACGCAGCAGGTTCTCACTCCACAGAGCAAGGGCCAGGTTGAGTTTGTCCTCCTGTGTGGGCAGCTGAAGCTGGGCAACAACCAGCTGCTCTGCCAGCTGGAGCTGCCGCAGGGCCTGGAGGTAGGACAGGGGAAACTGCAAGCCCTGCAGACACAGACATATGGTTGGGGTGGAGACCTTTTTCAACACACATGTTCAACACACATCCATATAGTGCGCTTCATTGTCTCACTGTCCATGTCCAATCAGAAGGTAAACCCAGGTCCTTCTTCAAATACCTGATGATATAACACAGCTGCACATCTCACTGGTATTGATTGGTGGATATTTTCAGCATGTGACGCTCAGCCTCACAGTCTGGGGTCTTTACCTTGGAATGTAAAGCACCTTGAGATAACTGCTGTGAACTGGTGCTGTATAAATAAAGCTGCCAGTGCTAACCCTCAGCCTCCCAGTACACACACCTATCGGGTCAAAATCTTACGTCAGCTTGTTCTCCAGTTATGGCATTAACAAGACTTTCAGAGAACATGACCTCTGACCTTTATGTTGAGGTCACAGACTTGAACTGGTCCAGTTCTTCAGCAGCAGCACCTGTGTGTCAGTGTGAACCTCCTACACTGCCTGATCCGAGTGACAGCACCCGACCAGCTTTTACAGTTGAGGATAAAAACCCTTAAAAACACTCGTTTTAAACCAAACATGGACAAATGTTTCGGTTTTCGCGGGTCACACTAACTGTTTCGTGGCTGTTCGAGGTTTCGTCACAGAGGATAAATATCTGTGGCGGTGGATTTCTGCACCTCTGCAGCAGAACACTGCTGAACATGTGTTATGAATATGAAAGGACCATCAGCGAGGTATGGCATTACCGTGGAGATGCTGCGTTCTTCCTGGTCATCACAGCTGTCACCCATCATGTGACCTTCTCTCTGGTTCTTCAAAGAATGCAAGACAAATACTACCAGCTCTGTGGCGTCGTCCTGAAACACACACAGTTCAGAGCACACTGTTAGAGCGCACGCACAGAACCCCAACAGGGCTGCACATTTCTGTACTTACAGCCTTAAAGGACTCACTGTGCTCTGTGGGCGGGGCTCCACTGTTATTACCACGTGGTCTTTAAAGGTCAGAATCACTGTATCCTCCAAGGCAGGACTCTTTCCAGCTGTGACACACACCATATGTTTATATGCACAAATGTACATCACTGAAAAATCGATCTGAATGCATCCATGACATACATGGTGAAGACAGCTGCTGCTGGCAGTAAGGAGGCAGTCTGTTCATGATGAAGTCTCTCTTCATGTGAGTGAAGCCCAGGTCCTGCGCCCCAGTTTCCATCTCGTCAGCCAGAGCTCTGAGGCTGGCGGCCAGCCGCTGGTTGGTGTGCAGGCCTGCACTGCTGCTCTACACACAGACATGCATGTGACTGTGAATGCATCTCATTCATATTTTACATAATTCAGAAAGCATTAGAAGTTGAGCTGTAATGACAGAGGCACAAATACAGACCTCGCTCTCTTCTGAAGCTATTTTCGTTTTATATTCATTCTTAGAAGATAAATCTTCTAAAAACTATGAAAGCAGTGCATTATGAGGACCCGTTTACCTCAACATTGCTCCAGTTTCAGGGAAAAGATCACAGAACAGCTTTAAGTAATTATGAGTCAATTAAAAACAGCACATTGCAGATGTTACACACACTACCTGTCAAACGTTTGGACAGAGATTCTCATTTAATGCTTTCTCTTTATTTTTACTTCTTCAAACTGATACAAACTGAAGACATTAATATAATAAGCATGACGGGTGGAATTATGTAGCAAAGAGAAAATGTATAAATAACTCTACATATATTTCAGATTCTCCAGCGCCCCCGCGACCCTGAAAAGGATAAGCGGTAGCGAATGGATGGATGGATGGATGGATATTTCAGATTCCTGACAGTAGACGCCCTTTGCTTTGTTGACAGCGCTGCAAACCCTCGGCCTTCTCTCAGTGAGCTTCATGATGTAGTCACCTGACATGGTTTCACCTCACAGTGAGCCTGTCAGGGTTCGTCTGTGGAGTTTCTTGCCTTCTTAATGACGTTGGGACCATCTGTTGTTTGTGTCAGGTTGGTGCACAGCTGACAGGCCTGTTTGACAACTGTTAGAAACAGTCCCTCATTACTTTAAGAACTGAAGGTCAGTCAGTGCATAAAATTGCTAAAAAGGTGAACGTATGGTCTCTACGTGCATGGTTCCACTGTGAAGCATGGAGGAGGTGTGATGATGGTGTGGGGGGCTTTGCTGGTGACGCTGTTGGGGATTTATTCAAAACTGAAGGCAGACTGACCCAGCATGGCTACCACAGCATCCTGCAGCCACAGGACAGGACAATGAGCCCAAACACACCTCCAGGCTGTGTGAGGGCTGTTTGACCCAGAAGGAGAGTGATGGAGTGCTGCACCTGATGGCCTGGCCTCCACAGTCACCTGACCTAAACCCCGTGGAGATGGTTTGGGATGAGATGGAGCGCAGAGTGAAGGCAAAGGACCAACAGGTGCTCAGCATCTCTGGGAACTCCTTCTAGACTGTTGGAAACCACTTCAGGAGACGACCTCATGAAGCTCATGGAGAGAATGAAAGAGTGAGCAAAGCAAAGGCTGGCTTTGACCGCTACTTCACACTTTTTGTTTACTGCATGATTCCACATGTGTTCATTCATAGTTTGGATGCCTTCAGTGAGACTCTACGATGTAAACAGTCATGAAACTAAAGACAAACCATTAAATGAGAAGCTGTGTCCAAACTCCTGACTGGTACTATGAAACCATCTCATATACTGCCATAGATTCTTCAGCGTGCAGTCACAGACAGAAAAAGCATCTGTCAGGATCAGTTTGGAATAATATGTCATGGGAATACAGAGATGGTGTTCATACTGTCGTGATTACCAGTAAGAGTCTTCTGGCCATCCCCTCTCTGAGGCTGACTTCCCTCCTGCTGCGGCCACACAGTAAGCTGGGAAATACGTCCAACAGCAAATCTCCCCATGACCTGACAGCAGGCGGGGACAGTGAGACAGTGTGGGACTGATTAGCGACAGAGAACTCTTCTGGATCTCATTCACACACCAGTTTTGTTTGAGCACGACAGAAACAATCATCATCAAACCCATCTGTTATCAGTGTTTGGAGCTTTGAACAGGACCAGTTCTTCTGTTTCTTATTGGCTGAAAACCTGATGATGTACCCTGACTTTACTCTGCTGAGCAGACGTCTGTTCTACTGAGTCGAGTACGAGTCTGTGTGCCGGATCAGTGGGCAGTAGTTTTACTGCACACTTACTCCCTGACATGCCAATAAAGGAAAAGGAAGTGCGATTTCAACAGAATCTTTTTTTTTTATGAAAGTTGATACTTTGTAAAAACAAACAAACAAACAAACAAATCACTTTCAAAATTCTACATCGCCTTGTTGTCAAGTCACTGGATTCATGAGATTTTCATTAAGTGTAACCTCTCAGGTCAACGCCATGGAATTTGAACTCTTCTGAGTTAGTAGATGCTCCTACAGCCGGGTCTCGAACTCCAGGCCTCGAGGGCCGGTGTC